CAGATGGCACACAGCAAACAGACTTCTGCCTGTCAGCACCAGGACTCCAGGGCCTGAAATTCCTTGTATTAATTCCTACCTTGGCAGTTTCTAAGGGGATATCTCAAAAATTCTGAAGACCAACAATCTTTTGCCCAACTACAGCTCAGAATATGCACAAGCAAGTTTCTCTTCCCTTGTATCTTGACTATCAACACCTTCAAGGAGATAATTTTACACATCTGGACTCTTCACTACTTGGTATCCTCATGAGACATTCAGGTTATCAAAAGCCATAGATACTCACTGTATGTAATCAGGTAACTTACCTCTGCAAAACCCGTAACTTGTATCTTCACTTTTGCAAGGAACTACCAAAAAAATGCATGTTCCTTTTGCAACTGGTAACTCTTTTTCTTGCTAACGAACTCCCCCAGCCCCTAAAACAGAGAAAATTGCAGAGCACGTCTGAAAGAGTAAAGCATCACAGTGCTCCTTTGCCTTCAGTATTAGATTATATGTCTCATTTCAGATGTCCAATCATGTAAGTTACTCCAGAATCTCTACCAAAGGAGAATGCCACATAGCTCGTTGGCAATAATAAAGGACAATTGCATTATGCACCATTTAGCAGGCGTTTGCTCCCCCGAAGCATCAGGCCATCTCCAACAACTCTCACCATTCTTAGCAATGCAGTAAATTTGCACCTTAAGGATTCTCCTAAAAATCCTTCAAACCACCAAATTTCTCTCATAGCCTGGAGTCACATCCATTTAGTTTTCCAGGGAACATAGAGCCATTTATAGGGCTCAGTAAAACACTGGGGCCTGGCAAGAAAACCAAAGAGAATCATTTTCCTTATCTGCTTCCAAGTAACACACTGTTCTCTTAGCTGGTAAACACCTGTGTATGTAACTCTGCTTTAAAAATCTGTATCTTAAGTTTTGACCAAAATGCAAACACGTCTCTTAAAAGAAAAAAGCACTAATTTGGTGGGGGTTTTTGTTTAAAATATGTTTTGGCAATCATCACCATTCAGTGAATAAAAGTATTTTTACTTGTTAAACGCAGGACTTGGAAAAAAAAAAAAAGCCACTAAAAGCTGATCTATGAAACCCAAGCCACAGACTCTTCAGGATTAAGAACAAACATTTTAAAATTGCTAAATTTACAGTATATGATAAATTATATAAATAGGAAGGAAATTAGATTGTAAACCAGGATTTTTATACAAAGCATAACAAAATATATACCTTCTAATCAAGTCAAAACCAGAAGTACATTTCTGTAATTTAAGCTTTTTAAAGCAAAAAGTGAGAACTGTGAAAACATTGTAATTTTGTTTGTTCAGACTGTTACTGAAGTTGTTCATGTATGAAAAAGGGAAAGTGTAAAGAAGATCTGCTTTTAATACATTTTATTAACCTAATTAAAGATACTTAAAACTTGCTATCCCCATAAAGTCACAACGAATCTTTATGTGGACCAAAACTCTTCACTGCATCAGTCTTGTAGTAATAGCGGAAATTTTTAGAAATAGCAGAAGTATTTTCCAAGACTTAAAATGGCATAGTTCTGCCTGAAAGAATTGAAAATGTTAGGGTTTTTTTTAATCTAAATGTCAGGTTTGAACACACTCTCTCTGAATGACAGGTAAGCTAACAGCAATACAAACACAACCGAACCACAGATTCAATGAATCTGAGGCAGTGATTTCATTCAAGGGATTGTAATAATCTCTTCTGTAACTACAATATCAACACAAAAGAATTAACTTAGCATCTGGTTTGCTCAGTTGAAAAGTGATTCTTTAGCCAAAGGTTTGGGTAAGCTTCAGGTTTTGGCAAATTTCTGGTTTGGGTTACCTACTACTTGGAAAGGCCTTTTTGTTTTTAAGACAGAAATCTTCAAATTATTCTAAAGGCAAGCATACAATTGCAGTTGATTTTCCCACACAAGCAATGATCACAAATCTGCTCATTCTGTGCTTAACTTATGTATTTTAACTCTGCTACACTTTGAAAATGTGGTCCTAAACTGAAATAATGTTAATATTGTTCTCATTTGCAGGTTCAGTACTCTTTATAGGAAGAGTTACAAATCCTTCATAATAAACACTAGATAAATACACTGTCTTCTGTTCCTCCCATGGTGACCTTTCCTTCAGTGAAATTAAAGGCTACACTATATGTATTTATTAAAACCATTTTAAACAATATAACTTTTGCAAGAACAAGCATGAGCAAGTCCTCCACTACCTTATTCCTTTGTATACACTACTGGAAACTTACAGCTGTCTAGGAATCATTAGCACCACAACTACGGCAAAGATAGTAAGCATATAACCATTGGAAAAAATGGAACAGATTTTCCCACCTAAATGTTTAAGAATATGGGCCAACAGCTTCTGCTTAACTTCTTCACCAAGGCTAGTCAGCTTGACTGTTGCTGAGCACGTAGGTCACCTGGAAGAAAGCATCCCACAAGAAAACTTTGTGATATATGTTATTTTTCAAGCACAACTTTATTTCCCTGTCCTGAATTCAAAACCTGAAGAACAAAATTGAAGTTCAGTCTGGCCCTAGACTTAGATAAAATCCAGCTGAGATAGATAACAAGCAAGCAGCAAAATGTTGTGAAAAGGAAATCAAGTTGAGAGCCTCTTTCAAAACTGACAGAACAGGTAAGAAGCAGAAATACCCACTCAATCAGTGACCAAATGTTATTGCCAAAAAAGTAGCAGTATTACCTTTTTTTTTTTTTTTTAATGAACACAGCATAGAATGGACATTCCTGAAGAACAGTGACTGAGGCTAAAAGCATCTAGAAAAATGCTTCTTTCAGCATCCTGACAAAAGTTGGGATACTTGAGTGTTTTAGCACAAGAATAAGCAAATCATGGCACAAGCATCAGAAACCCAGGCCCATAAAGATTTTGGGTGAAGACTGTGAACCACTGACACCTAGGAAAAGCATCAGAGTTGAGCTGCTCCCACTGAATCAAACAAAGCTTTCCAGAAGTTAGGAGCATCTAGCACAGATGAAAGACATGGCAAACAAAGCATTCAGTAATGCTTTATGTCCAAGAAGCAGCCCCCTTCTGGCTTTCAGAAGGTGGTTTCAGCACTTGTAAACATGTGAAAATATCTGACACAAAAACTCTGCAGCATTCCTCAAAGGCTACTGACTCCTGCTATGCTGCATTGTATCCTCATACAACTGGATTTTGTCATTGCTGTGGAGGCGCATACAGGACACTGGTTTGTTATGCCAGTCACCAAACAGCTAAGCCCAAAGTACACAAGGCTACAGGCTATCATCCTACCATCACTGTGATTCAGCATTAGCTTCCTTTCACTCGTTCTCTGATTAAGAACAGAATATCCAGTGATACAAAACTGCTCTTCGTTCTGATACTAGAACACAGCAGCTCTGGAAAGGGAAGGCAAAATGAACCATTCCAATAAAAACTGTACTCAATCCCACACAAAGATTAAAATAGAGTTTTTATTGATGGAATAACAAAAGTGCTTTTCTTAAATATTTTTCAAAATACATTTATACAACTTACAATAATATATCCAAAATAACTGTATATACAAAACATTACCTTGTTTAATGTATGTGCTTTTTTTTTTTTTTTTGAAAATTACAAAGCAACTTTTTTGGCAAAAGTTCAACCTTAAGAGGTGATAGTTTTGAAGGTTAGATTAAGAAAAATAGAACCTGAGGGAAAGTAACACTTAAGTCCATGACAAGCAAGAAGTTCTCCATTTAGTTAAATAAAAATGGTTTTGTGATATTTTCCACATTACAAAAATAACAGAAGTGAAAAAAAAAAAAAAAAGATGATGGATACTTTTCTCATAATTTTATAGAGCAGCTTCTCATTCTTTCAGGAACAGGAATTTGAGATAACAGTGCATGTCAAAAATGAATGCAAGTAAGGACAGCAGTGCCCTGCTGTGGCTCTCTCTTGTGTGCAGTGTCTCTTAGCTGCTGTTGATATGGTTGACCTGATTGGATCTGCGATGGATTTCTTCCAGAAAACTCTCAAGCTGTTCTATCAGCATTCGTTTTTTAAACCTGCATTTAAAAGAAAGCATAATAATGGATGCACACAGTAATACATGAAACATAGTTCACAAAACTTCTACTGAACCCTGGAAACATCAGTTATTATTTTAGGTCCAGAGCACGGTGAGGTTATATGTACCTCATATGAACATATACCATCTCCTACTGTTCTGGTAAACTACTAACTGGCTTTTCCATTTAATGAGAGAATACAAAACTATGCTTACTACAGCCTATTCTAGCACATTGCTGAACATCACTTAGCCCTCAGAAAGCCAGGAAAAAGACAGTTAAGTGTTTGCTCTTTCCAGAAGTAAAGTTCGGAAGCACAGAAACAAAACATATGCCAAAAGAACTATCATCCTAAAGCTGGCAACAGCTTTTAGGGATTATTTGCATGTCTTTATGGTGCATTCACAAAAGTTAAGTGACGTTGGTACTGGTGAAGGAATAGCCATTACACCATGCAGAGCAGATCTCCTGACAAGAAAATACAACTTAAAAGTTTGAGAAAGAAATTAAAGAAACTACAGATGTGATCTGTACCTGGAGTCTCTGCAGTTCTATTCCATA